GGGGCAGAGGCCGCGGCGCTTAGGTGGCAGGTGACCCGGACAGCCCTAGCGTCCGGTCGCACACCTGCTTAGCTTTGTTTGGTCGCCAGGTAAGCCCCCCTGGCGTCCTGCAGGTGGAGTCCAGGGGCGGCTACCCGAGGCCGGAGACACATCCTCACTGGGCTCCCACCACTGTCGACCTGCTCCTCAGCGTCGGGCCCCCGGTGGCAGGAGGCTGCTTCGATTCAGTTTTAAAGGCAAAGCCTGGCCAGACCTTCACCTCCGCTTTTCCTTATAACCTTCGAACTTGCCCCATAGTGGCCCTTGGCTGTGGGGGCCTTTCTCTGAGTGCTCAATCATCGCCCTCCAACAGCTTTCTGTTGATATGCTGACAAAACCAAGGCTCGGGATTTGCACTTGGTTCCTTCTTGGTCTGTGGCTTCTGGTCCTTTCCTTTCAGCATTGTGTGATAACCTGAGATAGAGAGGTCAGACTTCTAAAAGGATTGCATTTAAAGCTCTCTTTGTTTTGTGGGATTGTCCTTGCCTGCCTTAGCCATGTCATCCCCTATGCTGTCACCTTATGCCCTGCCACCCTAGAGCCTTACGAACTGCACAATTGTACTTGAAGACACTAGTTACAATTAAGCATAGCCTGAGGGAGGAGGTGGGAGTTAGAATTACCTTCCCAGCTGGGCCCACTTTAAAACACCACCTGGGATGTTATGGCGGCTACAGCTGCTGGGCTGACAGATGTATCTGTACACCTGCTTCCTTTTCTTAAAAGGAAAATGGAACTGCAACTTGGAACCATCTAGAAATCTTTAAAAAACTCTAATTGCTCTCTCCCATCCCCAGACCTGATTCAATTGCTGTTAAGTAGGACCAACTCTCCCAGTGATACTTATGTTTGGGAACCAGTGACCTAGTGTATCCCAAAGTTAATGACCATGAAAGATTCATCTAAAGAATTCTTTGAAAGTAACAGACCTCCTACCTTGGGTCAGTGTTTTGGAATCTATTAACAGTGCCCAAGGGAATTCACACAGTGAGGCAGGTTTGGCTTCCCACATCTGTCAGCACCAGCAGTAGATACTGATAGTATTCAAGAAGATGGGGCTTTCCATATGTCAACTCAGTGTCAGCCCACCTGGCCCATAGGCAGATTTGGAGTCATTAAGTTTCAGGGGTGACTTAGTACCAATCCTACCTACTCCTCCCCCTACAGTGACTGTGATACACTCACTCTTTACATTTTGAGACCTGCTACTACTAGCTGGTTCAATCCCTAGTTAGACCTGAAGCATTTAAGGTTAGGAGCTCCCATGCAGCTTTTTGCTCTTGGTTTTTGCTGCTATGGGAGGATCAGTCCACATCTACCTTAGGGTACCTATACAGTTCTGGGCTGGAGATAGTATATAGCAGGATGTACCATATGGTGGCCACGAGACACATGGCTATTGAACACCTTAACTGTTTCCATTCCAAATTGAGAGTGCTTTAACTGTGAAATACACACTGGATTTCAAAGACAGTACCAAAAAAAGGAAACTATCACAGCAATACATATTGTATTGATAATGTGTCAAGATATATTGGGTTACATAGACTATATCATTAAAATTTTTCCTATTTTTACTTTTTAACATTGCTATTAAAAAATTTAAATTACATGTATGACCCACAGTAAACACATACTTCTCTTGGATAGTACAGCTCAGTGGGAGGATTTTCCACCTCAGTTACGAGATCTTTAAAGCAGTATATGATTTTTGCTTTTATCTATCTTGAGTATAAAAGAACTGAATCAATCAAAAAAAAAAAAAAGAACTAAATCAAAACTGAGTAAAGGCGCCTGTGGCTCAAGTGGCTAAGGCACCAGCCACATACACCTAAGGTGGCAGGTTTGAATCCAGCCCAGGCCCACCAAACAACAATGACTAGCTGCAACCAAAAAATAGCCGGCGCCTGTAGTCCCAGCTACTTGGGAGGCTGAGGCAGAAGACTCGTTTGAGCCCAAGAGTTGGAGGTTGCTGTGAGCTGTGATGCCACGGCACTCTACCCAGGGGGACAGCTTGAGGCTCTGTCTCAAAAAAAAACTGAGTAAAGGCTTAAAAAAAAAAAAAAAAAGCTTCCTCTCTAAACTTCATGAACCAATTCACCTTGGTAAAATTGTGATCTCTTTTCCCATAGTGACTTACCCCAACCCTTCCTCAAAAAGAGACTGAAAGTGCAATTTCCAGTTATCTAATCTGTTGTTAGTCACATGTTGAGGAAATAGTTGATCACATGATGATGATTGGAGTGAAATCATGTGTCTCTAAATCAAGCAACTCATTGTATGTGGGGGATACATTGACTTCCTGCCCTAAGCTTCTGTGGGTCATACTGGAATTAAATGGGAGATTGAAGCCCTGAAAAAGAGGGATGTGTCAGGGACAAAGCCCAAATTTGGGGAATGCTCAGGTCAGAGAAACCGATAAAGAACCCAAACCAATGAATTTCCGAAGTCTTAATAGCTAGGATTTACAAGAAGAGATAGATCTTAGCATTTCTTGATTCTAGAAATAGAAAAAATAATAGTCTCTAGTAGATTTTTAACAACAGCTTGGAGTAGAGAAGTTCCAATTTGTGGTCCTAGCCTATTTCCAGTGTATAGTCTCTCCTGGCCAATTTCAGCCTACCAATGATGACTCAGGAACATTATTCTAAACATTTGACATACATTAACTCATTTAACCTCACAGGAATCCTGTGAATTTCTATTATCATTCCCATCTTACAGACGGGTTAAACTAAGACACAAGGAAGTTGAATAACTTGGCCAAAGTTAGGCCTAAGGAGAGGTGAAGCTAAGTCCACTGGCTCCAGATTGTTTTCTGGTGTCCTAACCACTATATATAAGACCCTTAGATTTTTAATTATTCTGACCAGTAATAAAATCCTCATTTCAGAGGTGAAAAGCATATGTGTGACCTAAATTCTTAAGGAAAAGTAAGAAACTACTATAAAAAGTTCCTTAAAAGGTAGGATTCTTTTTTCTAGGCAAAGTAGAACATAGTGAGTACGAAAAGAGGCTTTAGGCTTGGTGTCTGTGGCTCAAGTGGCTAAAGCTCCAGCCACATGCACCTGAGCTGGCAGGTTTGAATCCAGCCTGGGCCCGCCAAACAATAATGATGGCTGCAACCAAAAGATAGCCGGGCATTGTGACGGGTGCCTGTGGTCCCAGCTACTTGGGAGGCTGAGGCAGGAGACTCACTTGAGCCCAGGAGTTGGAGGTTGCTGTGAGCTGATGCCACAGCACTCTACCCAGGGGGATAACTTGAGGCTCTGTCTCAAAAAAAAAAAAAAAGAGGCTTCAGAGCTTCTGCTTAGTTTAAATCCTGCCTTTGCTATTCACTAGCTGTATGACCTGGGGCAAATCACTTACCCTCTGTGTGTCTCTGTATCTACCTCTATAAAATGGAGATAATAACAATGATGCCTGCCTCATAAAAGGGTCAAGATTAAATTGTTTATACATATCAAGAGCTTGGTTCAGTGCCGGGCACCTAAAAGCACTCAGTTGGTAACTAGTTATAATTTTAGTATCTCTTGATTCCTTCCAGTCACAGGGGACTCAAAGTGCTCGAGTATCTAATGATAAGACAGGAATATTTTCTCTGTGCCAGTCACTGTGCTGTGCTTTCTCTGCATCATCTCATTTGTTTCTCACAAGGAAGGTGTGGGGAAAGGTGCTACTATCCCCATTTTGCAGAAGTAGAAATAAAGCCCCAGAAGTTAAGTAGCTTTTGCAAAGTCACATAATTAGTGAAGATTGTACTTTCAGCATCTGGTAATCAGAGGCTCCCTAGCTTTACCTCAAATTCACAGAATCTTTTTTTTTTTTTTTTTTTTTGAGACAGAGCCTCAAGCTGTCCCCCTGGGTAGAGTGCTGTGGCATCACAGCTCACTGCAACCTCCAACTCCTGGGCTCAAGCGAGTCTCCTGCCTCAGCCTCCCAAGTAGCTGGGGCCACAGGCGCCCGCCACAACACCCGGCTATTTTTTGGTTGCAGCCGTCATTGTTGTTTGGTGGGCCCAGGCTGGATTCGAACCTACCACCTTAGGTGTATGTGGCTGGCACCTTAGCCACTTGAGCCACAGGCGCCGAGCCAATTCACATAATCTTAATGGTAATTTAAGAGGCCTATTTTATTTTATAGGTGGGTATTTCTGTGGGAGAAGGGATACCAGGAAATGGACTCTGTGGTCAGCTCAGTTACTACCAAGGTCAAGGGTGTGGCTGTGACTAATACTTCTCAACTTGGATTCCGGATCTGGGATGTGGCTGATTATGTGATACCAGCTCAGGTATGTCTCCCACTGTGACTTCTGTCTAACACTGACACCTGTAGTTCACACCTTTCCCATTACTGACTTTGCACATTTGATTAATGACTTGCATAGCAAGAGTTCTAACATCACTGAGGTCCAGACTAGATTGTTTCAGTCCAGGAAAGCAGCCAGCTCTCTTTTGACCTAATATCCAACAGATCATACTCAGTTAGCTATGGTTCCTTTCAGCTTTAAAAGGTGGCTAGCTAAAATACAGTGAGTTTCCAGATAGACATCGCAGTTTATCTTAAGCCCTGAAAGGTGAAAAAGCAAATTTCTTTTTTTTGAGACAGAGTTGCCCTTGGTAGAGTGCTGTGGTATCACAGCTCTCAGCAACTTCAAACTTCTGGGCTTAAGCGATTCTCTTGCCTCTGCCTCCCAAGTAGCTGGGACTACAGGCACTTGCCACAACGCCTGGGTATTTTTTGTGGCAGTTGTCATTGTTGTTTAGCTGGCCTGGGCCAGGTTCGATCCCACCAGTCTCAGTGTACATGGCTGGCACTGTAACCACTGTGCTATGGGCTCTGAGCCAAGAAAGCAAATTTTTTAAATCCCGGGAAAAAAATCCAATGGAGATACCATCTTTCCACATTTTGGGTTTGCTTTATTGTCTTTTTTTTTTTTTTTTAATGAATGAGGCATCATTTGTTCTAATGCTTTTTGTTGGCAGCTGCCACCCGTTCAGCTATTCTGTCCAGATCTCTCTGTCCCTGAGGTGTCAGTTTGCAGCCCCCATCTTGGTCCTTTTCCACCATTTTCAGCCCCAGGGCTTAGAGGACCTGGCAGGCCACACTCTTAGAGCCTCAGCTGAAGTGGCTGAGTGTGATGCCATTTCTCTGCCATCCCTCATAGATTTTGGTCATGGAGCCAATCCCAGCACTGCCCTGGAGGTACAGGTGATGTGCTGTGGAAGCACATCATATAGAGCCAGTTCTCATTCTAGGGAGCAAGCTCCTTATGCTTGGCCAGCTTGACTGTGTCCACCCATTCAGGGACTTTCAGCTTCCTGGACTTTTTGAGGAACACTGCCAGAGTTCTGACGAACTCCTGCTGTTTCACATCTTTTACGGTAACTCCAGGCGTCATGTGACCTCTGTGCTGCCAGCCAGGGGAAAGGGCTACTTTATTGTCTTAAACCCACAAGGTAAATCTTTTCAGACTTTAAATTAATTAAATTAATTAGATTACAGACCAACATTAAATTAAATTAATTAGAGACCAACACTCAAACAAGAAGGAAGAAAGGTAAGGGAAGAAATTGTTTGACACTCATGGCATCCTAGTCTCCAGCTGGTAATCTGCAAAGCTCCAAGTTAAACATTGACTCTTTAGCCTAGGTTATAGCTGTGTGCCACGTGGCCAAACCCTACATACCTCTCCAGGTGACTTATGTGCTATGGGGCCTAGAGTCACCAAATACAGATAAGCTGCCAGCTTCTGATGTAAAGCTTATGTCAAGGAAAGCAAGGGACTTCAGAAACTCTTCTTCAAGTGTGTTCATTTTCCCCTGCCCTCTCCAGAGAAGCGTCTTATAGGGTGCCCAGAGAGGAGGCAGAATTAGTGAGCCATAAAAGTCGAATGGAACAGGGGATTTGTAGCTGGCTGGAAATGGGCAGTCCTGTTGGCATGCACCTGTCTCAGCAGAAAGACCACTGCTCCTTCTGAAGGTGAGGGCTTGGCCTGGTACACTCTGGGAGTGTCAGGCTTGGTATGTTCACTGGACATGGAAGGAAGGGTACAAATCATGTTTTTGTCCCTCAGTGGAAAGGAATATACAGCACCTCTGCCTTCCATAGCAGATCCAGGCTGGGGCTGTGTAAGTTCCACAGGGCTTTGTTTGTAAGCTTTCATGCCATCTTTGTGTTTCTCTGCAGATGGTACACAGTCATCTGTGTACATCCACTTGGCTCATCTCCAAGCTGAAATTCCCCTATGTTTGAAATAGATAAGAGATAAGAAACAAAAAGTAGATCATAGTGAAACTATTTAAGTCTTAGGAGAGTCTTTGGAGAAGCCTTTTTTTTTTTTTTTTTGGAGGCAGAGTCTCACTATGTTGCCCTCAGTAGAGTGCTGTGGTGTCACAACTCACAGCAATTCAAACTCTTGGGCTCAAGCAATTCTCTTGCCTCAGCCTCCCAGTATCTGGGACTACAGGCACCCACAACGCCCAGCTGTGGGGGTTTTTTTTGTTATCGTTGTCATTGTTGTTTAGCAGGCCCTAGCTGGGTTCGGACCCATCAGCCCCAGTGCATGTGGCCGGAGCCCTAACCATTGAGCTATGGGCACCGGGCCTGGAACAGGCCTTTTATAAACACCAAACAAAGACTGTGTAAATATACTGAACACCTGGGAATACATGGTAGCCTCTGGTGGCAGCAGAGACTCTGGCCTCATGCACATCCTCATGCCTTCTCTTGTGCCATTTCCTTGTCTCCCAACATGGTTTGTTCTAGGCCTTTGGAAGATGACATTCCTACAGCTTCTACCACCATGTCATAGCCGAGGGTGGGGTTGTCTCCTTTGGTTCCTCAGTTACCCTAATTCCCAAAATGGCTCCCATCACTGACTCTCTTCCCAGGATTATGAAATGCTGAAAGCTTCAGGTTTCTCCTTTTAACATACTGGTGCCCAGCCAGGCACAGTGGCAAGCACCTGTAGTCCCAGCTACTAGAGAGGCTAAAGCAGGAGGATTGCTTGGACTCTGGAGTTCAAGACCAGCCTGGGTAACATAGCAAGATCCTTGTCTCCAAAAAAGTAAATTGATAAATGAAATACCAGTGCCCAATTGTGGTAGGCAGGGTCCAACTAAAACCTTTTAAGGTCATTTTCTTTTATTCCTTTTATTAGGAGGTCATTATTAGTAGTTCTTCAGTTTCATTCTAGCAAATTGATTTCCACAAACTCTAAATCAATAATTTGGTACCTTCTTACCTATAGGGAAAAAACAGAACTTTTTCAAAGAGAGAAATGTTATTTGATGGTGGAGTATGGTGGCTTACCCTTGTAATCCTAGCACTCTGGGAGGCCAAGGCAGGTAGATTGCTTGAGCTCAGGAGCTTAAGACCAGCCTGAGCAAGAATGAGACCTTGTCTTTACAAAAAATAGAAAAAATTATCCAAGTATGGTGGTGCATGCCTGTAGTTCCAGCTGCTCGGGAGGCTGAGCCAGCCTCAAACTTGAGCCCAGGAATTTGAGGTTGCTGTGAGCTATGACACCAAGGCACTGTAGCCTGGGGTAACAGAATAAGACTCTGTCTCAAAAAAAAAAAAAAAATCACTGATGACTCTGAGCAATTCTCTAGAAGGTTTTATTTTATCTTTAATTCCAGATGGGAAGATTTTTGACCTTTGAAGCCTCATGGGTTTTTTTGTGGTTTTTTTTTTTGAGACAGAGCCTCAAGCTGTCCCCTAGGGTAGAGTGTTGTTGCATCACAGCTCACAGCAACCTCCAACTCCTGGGCTCAAGCGAGTCTCCTGCCTCCACCTCCCAAGT